ATCCTCTTTTTTAGCTCCCATATATGTGTGAGAACATGCCATATTTGACTTTCTATGCTTGGCTTATTTTACTGAACATAATGACCTCCAATTCCATCCATGTTGCTGCAAATGACAGGATTTCATTCCTTTTTATGGATGAATAATATTCTATTGTGTGAAATGTGAAAATATACCACATTTTCTTTAGCCATTAATCCATTGATTGTCACTGAAGTTGATTCTATATTGTGGCTGTTGTGAATAGTGCTGCAATAAACTTGGGCATACAGATACCTCTCCAATATACTGATTTCCTTTCTTTTGGATGTGTATCCAGTAGTGGAATTGCTGGATCATACGGTAGTTTTATTTTTAGTTTTTGAAGTTTTAGTTTTTTGAAGTTTTTTAGTTTTCCATACTGGCTATATTAATTTACATTCCCACCAACAGTGTACAAGGGTTTCCTTTTCTCCACATCCTTGCCAGCATCCTTTATTGCCTGTCTTCTTGGTAAAAGTCATTTTAACTGGGGTGAGATGACATCTCATTGTGGTTTTGATTTGTATTTCTCTGATGATTAGTGATGTTGAACATTTTTTCTTATACCTTGTGGTCATTTATTTGTATATCTTCTTTTGTGCAGTGTCTATTCAGATCATTTGCCCATTGTTAAATCAGATTGGTTTTTGCTATTGAGTTGTTTGAACTCCTTATATATTCTGGTTATCAATCCCTTTCCAGGTGGATAGTTTGCAGATATTTTCTTTCATCCTTTGGGTTGTCTCTTCACTTTATTGATTGTTTCCTTTGCTGTGCAGAAGCTTTTTGGCTTGATATAATCCCATTTGTCTATTTTTGCTTTGGTTGCCTGTGCTTTTGAGGTTTACACAAATGTTCTGGAACATTTCCCCAATGTTTTCTTCTAGTAATTTCATAGTCTTAGGTCTTAAATTTAAGTCTTTAATCCATTTTGATTTGACTTTTGTATATGGTGAGACTGGGGTCTACTTTCATTCTTATGTTGTGGTTATCCAGTTTTCCCAGCACCATTTATTGAAGAGACTGTCCTATCCCCCATCTTTTTACAGTTAGAGGAAACGTTTTCAGCTTTCCCCCATTCAGTACGATGTTAGCTGTGAGTTTGTCATATATGGCCTTTATTATGTTGAGGTATGTTCATTCTATACTATGTGTAGTATGTTGAGGTTTTTATCATGAAGAGATGTCGAACGCTTTTTCTTCATCTATTGAGATTGTCATAGGATTTTTGTCCTTAATTCTATTGATGCGATACATCACGTTTATTGATTTGCATATGTTGAACAATCCTTCCATCACTGGTGTAAATCTATAAATCTCATTTGATCATGGTGTATTTTTTTATGTGCTGTTGGATTTAGTTTGCCTGTATTCTATCGAGCATTTTTGCATCTATATAGTTTCACAATTTCAGGTCTTACATTTAAGTCTTTAACGCATTTTGAGTTGACTTTTGTATTTGGAGATAAGAGTCCATTTTCATTCTTCTGCATGTGGATACCCAGTTTTCCCATTGCCATATAAAGAGACAGTCCTTTCCCCATTGTATGTTTTTGACATCTTTGTTGAAAATCAACTGACTGTAAATCAATAGATTTACTTCTTAGCTCTCTATTCTGTTCCATTGGTCTATGTGTCTCTGGTTATGGCAGTAACGTGCTATTTTGATTACTATGGCTTTGTAGTAGATTTTGATATCAGGTATTGTGAAGCCTCCAGTTTTGTTTTGTTTTGTTTTTATTTTGCTCAAGATTGCTTTGGCTATTTGGGATCTTTTATGGTTCCATATATTTTAGGTTTGTTTTTTCTTTGAAAATGTCATTGGAATTTAGATAGTGATGCACTGAATCTGTACATTGCTTTGGGTAGAATGGACATTTAAACAATATTAGTTCTTCCAATTCATGAACAATGAATATCTTTTCATTTATTTGTGTCTTCTTCAATTTCTTTCATCAATGTTTTATGGTTTTCAGTTTACAGATTTTTTACCCTCTTTATTAAATTAACTTCTAAGCATTTTTGTATCTATCGTAAAAGGGTGCTTTTCTTTATTTCCTTTTTTCAGATAGTTCCTTGTTATTGTGTAGAAATGCAACTGATTTTTGTATATTGAATTTGTATCCTGAAACTTTACTGATTTTATATATTAGTTCTAACAGTTTTTGGTGGAGTCTTCAAGGTTTTTTATATATAAGATCATGTTGTATGAAAACAGACACTTTAACTTCAACCTTTACAATTTGGATGCTTTTCATTTCTTTCTCTTGCCTAATCACTCTGGCTAGGACTTCCAGTAGTACATTGGATCAAAGTGTCAAGAGTGGACATCCTTGTCTTGTTCCTGATCTTAGAGGAAAAGCTTTCAGGGTCACTGCTTAGTATGATGTTAGCTGTGGGTTTGTCATATATGACCCTTATTGTGTTGAAATACGTTTCTTCTATACTCTGTTGAAAATTTTTATCATGAAATGGTGTTGAATTTTGTAAAATGCTTTTCCAACATCTATTGAAATGATCATATGGTTTTGTCCTTAATTCAGTTAATATAGTGTAACAAATTTATCGATTTACATATATTGAACCATTTTTGCATCCCAGGGATAAATTCCACTTGCTCATTGTGAATGATCCTTTTAATGTACTGTTGAATTCAGTTGACTAGTATTTTCATGAGGATTTGGCAGCTATGTTGATAGGAGATAGAGGCCTATAATTTTCTTTTCTTGTAGTGTCCTTGTCTGGCTTTGGTACCAAGGTAATGGTGGCCTTGTAAAATGAGTTTTACAATATTCCTTCCTCTTCAATTTTTGGAAGCATTTTAGAAGGACTAGTATTAGTTCTTTAAATGTTTGGTACAATTCAGCAGTGAAGCTATAAGGTCCTGGGCTTTTTTTTGATAGGAGACTTTTCATTACTGGTTAAATCTCCTTACTCTTTATTGTTCTGTTCAGATTTTCTGTTTCTTCATAATTCAGTCTTGATAGGCTATATGTTTTTAGTAATTTGCCCATCTTTTCTAGGTTATCCAGTTCATTGGCATATAATTGTACACAGTAGTCTCCTATGTTCCTTTGTATTTCTGTGGTATTAATTGTAATGTATTCTCAATTGTAATGTCTTCTCTTTCATTTCTGAATTTATTTATTTGAGTCTTCTCTCTTTTTTCTTAGTCTAGCTAAAGGTTTGGTAATTTTACCTTTTCAAAAAACCAACTCTTAGTTTCATTGATCTTTCCTATTTCATTTATTTCTGGTCTGATGTTTATTATTTCTTTCCTTGTACTAACTTTGGACTTAGTTTCTTCTTCTTTTTCTAGTGCCTTGAGGAAAGTATGTTCCTTGTGGTGTAACACTAGGTTGTTTCAGATTTTTCTTCTTTTTTGATATAGGCATTTATTGCTATAAATTTCCCTCTTAGAACTGCTTTTGCTGTATCCCATAAGTTTTAGTATGTTGTGTGTCTATGCTAATTTGTCTCAACATATTTTTTTTAATTTCCCTTTTAATTTCTTTTTTGATCCACTGATTATTCAAGGACATATTTAATTTCCACATATTTGCAAATTTTCTAAAAATCCTCCTGTTATTGATTTCTAGTTTCATAAAATTATCGTCAGAAAAGATACTTGATATGATTTCAATCATCTTAAATTTGTTAAGATTTGTTTTGTGGCCTGAAATATGATCTATCCTGGGGAATGTCTTGTGTGCACAGGAGAATATAGCAGTTGGATGGCACGTTGTGTATATGTCTTTTAGGTCCATTTGGTTTTGATGTATAATTCAAGTCCAATATTTCCTTATTGATTTTCTGTCTAAATTATCTCTCCATTGTTGAAAATGGAGTATTGAAGTACCCTACTATTATTGTATTGCAGTCTATCTCTCCCTTAGATCTATTAAGATTTGCTTCACATTTAGGTATTCCAATGTTGGGTAAATATATATTTATAATTGTTATACTGTCTTGATGAATTGACCCTTTTATCGTTATATGACCCCCTTTGTCTCTTTTTACAGTTTGACTTAAAGTCTATTTTATTTGGTATAAATATAGCTACTCCTGCTCTCTTTTGGTTCCATTTGCATGGAATATCTTTTTCCAACCCTTCACTTTCAATATATGTGTCCTTAAAGGTAAAATGAGTCTCTTGTAGGTAGCATATAGTTGGGTTTTGTATTTTTAACTATTCTGCCACTCTATGTTTTTTGATTGGAGAATGTAATTCATTTATGTTCAAGGCAATTATTGATAGATAAGGACTTACTGCTGCCATTTTGTTAATTGTTTTCTGGTTCTGTAGATTTTTCATTTCTGTCTTCCTCTTTTGCTGTCTTTCTTTGGGATTGGATGATTTTTTTTGTAGTGTATGCTTTGATTCTTTATTTTTTATCTTTGTTTATCTACTATAGGCTTTGCTTTGAGGTTACCTTGAGGCTTACATAAGTTATAGTTATAACAGGGTATTTCAAGCTGATAACAACTTAACTATCATTGCAAAAAAAAAAAACCCTTTAAAGTTTTACTCCATCCTCCCCCACCCCAATTTTCTAAAGTTCTTTATTTGTTAACATGGGTTCAAGTTATTATCTAATGTCCTTTCCTTTCTGCCTGAAAAACTCCCTTAGCTTTTTTTGTAGGGCAGGTGTACTAGCAGCAAACTCCCCAGGTTTTTGTTAACCTGGAAATGTCTTAATTTCTTCTTCATTTTTGAAGGATAGTTTTTTCTGATTATATAGAATTCTTGCTTGACAGATTTTTTTTTTCTTTCAGCACTTTAAATATGTTGTTCTACTGC